TTCTCCTGAGGTGCGTGGAACATAATCAATTCCCGAATACTGCAACATAACCATTTGTGCAAAATGATTTAACAATTCTCGTTGCAGAAACAATGGCGCCATATGGTGGTTGACGATAAACAAAAACTAATATGGTTCATATGAACGATTCACTGAAAAGAGCTTGTGGAATAGTTCAGTAAATTTCATAAAAAAATTATAGTAATAGTTGGTTCCCGAACCTATAAAGCAATTCTGTAACATTTTTGCAGTTATCGACAAATATCGATAAAAGTAAAACACCAATTGTTCATATTATGGCATTACTTAAAACTCAACTAGTTCGTTCGACGTTTTCACCACAAAAGTAGAATACATGTATTTACATATATGAATGTTACCGACATACGTCGAACGTACAAAATTTCAAGTTGAACAATTTCAACTTTAACAGAACGCATTTTTAATTTTTTCCTTTTATGAAAATAAAAACAAAACAATGAAGAAATATGAAATTTCGAATGGAAACTTAAACTATTTGGATTCATTTAATAATTTTCAAATATTATTTTGCGGTTTGTATTATTCCCTTGAAGATATGGATTCGATGTATGTGGGTAATGCGGCCGTACACAACATTTTGCCATAGTGGGGAAGTTGAATATTTTTGTACGCTCCGTCGTATAATAGGTAACGTTATTAGAATAACATTTTTTGATAATATTGTTGTATGTGTCGATAGGGCTTTATTTACTAGTTTACATTAATAGTTAACTTACCGAATTTCGTTAATTAACGAAAATATAAGCAAATAAAAAATTAAATGTTATTGGTTATCCGTAAAGCGGTGTACACACTAGCACATTTGAATGACACTCTTGCCCAAATCATGTTTGTCATTCATCAGGCAATCTTTTTTCCCACAGTGGGACCTAACCTATTTTCCCCTTATATGTGATTTAAATCTGGTCACTGTAACATTAAACAAAATGACACCTGACAGAAATATCAAAACCCACCGAAGGAAGAGAACAATCCACAACAATCAACCTATCCACAAGAACAAGCACCTCAAAACCGTAACATTAAACAAAATGACACCTCACAGAAATATCAACACCCACCGAAGCAACAGAACAATCCCCAACAATCAACCTATCCACAAGAACAAGCACCTCAAAACCGTAACATTAAACAAAATGACACCTCACAGAAATATCAACACCCACCGAAGCAACAGAACAATCCACAACAAAAAGAACAACAGTGTAACCCCCCGCAAGAAGATCACCCTTCACAGCCGTATGAAAACCCACAAGAAAATCAGTTACATTCTCAGGAAGATCTGTGCAACAATCCCCCCAAGGCAACATCACAGCAACAACAAGAATGCCGCCCACAACAACAGGAAAACCCCATTATTTTAGAATGTACTGAGTACCGGAACAAAATAATAATTAATTAAACAATTTATTGAAATCCATTAATATAATATATAACATGAAGTTTTTTTAGTTGTCTTTTTTTAATTTGTATTTCTTAAATTTTAATATATTATATTTTCTTTTTATCATTCTTAATAAAAACTTAAAAAAATAAAAACTACTAAATATTCTATTAAAAGAGAATAGTCAGATAGGTATATGAAACTTGGTAGAAACATCTTCGATCCTCTTTTCCAAAATGCATACCACAAAGTGGTAGACCTCGTCATTTTCTATTTTCCCTTTTATGGAATTTAAGTCAGGCTACTGTGGACTTAAGAAAAGCTACAAAGGTTCCGAAAAATATCCTTTAAAATATACACCCCATAGATGGTCGTTGGAAATATTATTTCAAAATTTACACCCCATAGATGGTGGTTGGAAATATTATTTCAAAATTTACACCCCATAGATGGGTGTACGCCTTAGATGTTCCTAGAAAAAATATTCTTTACAAAATCTACGCCTTAAATGGTCGTTGGAAAAATATTCTTTAAAATATTCACGCCTCATATGGTCGTTGAAAAAAATAATCTTTAAAAAGAACCACTCCTATTTTGGTCCTTCAAAATATATTCTTTACAAAATCCACGCCTTTAATGGGCCTTGAAAAGATACTCTCTAATAAATCCACGCCTTAGATGGTCTTAGAAAAAAATAATATGACTTAGATGGTCGTTGAAAAAATATCCACACCATATATAGTCGTTGAAAAAATATTCATCAAAATATCCACGTCTTAGATTGTTGTTGAAAAAATATTCTTTAAAATATCAACACCTTTATTGGTCCTTACAAAATCCACGTCCTTAATGATTCTTGAAAATATATTCTTTACAAAATTACCGCCATAGATTGTCGTTGAAAAATGCTCTTTAAATAATTCGCACCTCAGATGGTCCTTGAAAAGATATTGTTTTAGAAATCCACAATATTCTTTACACAATTGAAACATATTCTTTACACAATTCACGCCTATATTTGGTCCTTGAAAAGATATTCTTTACAAAATTCACGCCTTTAATAGGCCTTGAAAACATATTCTCTAATAAATGCACGCCTTAGATGGTCTTAGAAAAAATATTCTTCATAAAATACACGCCTCAAAACATGCATGGCTTAAAAGCATCTACGCCATATGTAGTCGTTGAAAAAATATTCATTAAAATATCCACGCCTTAGATAGTTGTTGAAAAAATATTCTTTAGAATATCAACGCCTTGGTCCTTACAAATTCCACGTCTTTAATGATCCTTGAAAAGATATTCTTTAGAAAATTCACGCCATAGATGGTCCTTGAAAAAATGCTCTTTAAATAACGCGCACCTTAGATGGTCATTGAAAAGATATTCTTTCAGAAATCCACGCCGTTATTGGTCGTTGAAAAATATTCTATAATAAAAATTCGGCATTATTGTTCCTTGAAACAATTTTCTTTAAAAAATACACACCTTTTTTGGACACTTTTTGGAAAAAATATTCTCGTTGAAAAAAATATTCTTTAAAAAGAACCACTCCTATTTTGGTCCTTCAAAATATATTCTTTACAAAATCCACGCCTTTAATGGGCCTTGAAAAGATACTCTCTAATAAATCCACGCCTTAGATGGTCTTAGAAAAAAATAATATGACTTAGATGGTCGTTGAAAAGATATCCAAACCATATATAGTCGTTGAAAAAATATTCATCAAAATATCTACGCCATAGATTGTTGTTGAAAAAATATTCTTAAAAAAAATCAACACCTTTATTGGTCCTTACAAAATCCACGTCCTTAATGATTCTTGAAAATATATTCTTTACAAAATTACCGCCATAGATTGTCGTTGAAAAATGCTCTTTAAATAATTCGCACCTCAGATGGTCCTTGAAAAGATATTGTTTTAGAAATCCACAATATTCTTTACACAATTGAAACATATTCTTTACACAATTCACGCCTATATTTGGTCCTTGAAAAGATATTCTTTACAAAATTCACGCCTTTAATAGGCCTTGAAAACATATTCTCTAATAAATGCACGCCTTAAATGGTCTTAGAAAAAATATTCTTCATAAAATACACGCCTCAAAACATGCATGGCTTAAAAGCATCTACGCCATATGTAGTCGTTGAAAAAATATTCATTAAAATATCCACGCCTTAGATAGTTGTTGAAAAAATATTCTTTAGAATATCAACGCCTTGGTCCTTACAAATTCCACGTCTTTAATGATCCTTGAAAGGATATTCTTTAGAAAATTCACGCCATAGATGGTCCTTGAAAAAATGCTCTTTAAATAACGCGCACCTTAGATGGTCATTGAAAAGATATTCTTTCAGAAATCCACGCCGTTATTGGTCCTTGAAAAATATTCTATAATAAAAATTCGGCATTATTGTTCCTTGAAACAATTTATTTAAAAAATACACACCTTTTTTGGACACTTTTTGGAACGATTCACTGAAAAGAGCTTGTGGAATAGTTCAGTAAATTTCATAAAAAAATTATAGTAATAGTTGGTTCCCGAACCTATAAAGCAATTCTGTAACATTTTTGCAGTTATCGACAAATATCGATAAAAGTAAAACACCAATTGTTCATAATATGGCATTACTTAAAACTCAACTAGTTCGTTCGACGTTTTTCACCACAAAAGTAGAATACATGTATTTACATATATGAATGTTACCGACATACGTCGAACGTACAAAATTTCAAGTTGAACAATTTCAACTTTAACAGAACGCATTTTTAATTTTTTCCTTTTATGAAAATAAAAACAAAACAATGAAGAAATATGAAATTTCGAATGGAAACTTAAACTATTTGGATTCATTTAATAATTTTCAAATATTATTTTGCGGTTTGTATTATTCGCTTGAAGATATGGATTCGATGTATGTGGGTAATGCGGCCGTACACAACATTTTGCCATAGTGGGGAAGTTGAATATTTTTGTACGCTCCGTCGTATAATAGGTAACGTTATTAGAATAACATTTTTTGATAATATTGTTGTATGTGTCGATAGGGCTTTATTTACTAGTTTACATTAATAGTTAACTTACCGAATTTCGTTAATTAACGAAAATATAAGCAAATAAAAAATTAAATGTTATTGGTTATCCGTAAAGCGGTGTACACACTAGCACATTTGAATGACACTCTTGCCCAAATCATGTTTGTCATTCATCAGGCAATCTTTTTTCCCACAGTGGGACCTAACCTATTTTCCCCTTATATGTGATTTAAATCTGGTCACTGTAACATTAAACAAAATGACACCTCACAGAAATATCAAAACCCACCGAAGGAAGAGAACAATCCACAACAATCAACCTATCCACAAGAACAAGCACCTCAAAACCGTAACATTAAACAAAATGACACCTCACAGAAATATCAACACCCACCGAAGCAACAGAACAATCCACAACAATCAACCTATCCACAAGAACAAGCACCTCAAAACCGTAACATTAAACAAAATGACACCTCACAGAAATATCAACACCCACCGAAGCAACAGAACAATCCACAACAAAAAGAACAACAGTGTAACCCCCCGCAAGAAGATCACCCTTCACAGCCGTATGAAAACCCACAAGAAAATCAGTTGCATTCTCAGGAAGATCTGTGCAACAATCCCCCCCAAGCAACATCACAGCAACAACAAGAATGCCGCCCACAACAACAGGAAAAACCCATTATTTTAGAATGTACTGAGTACCGGAACAAAATAATAATTAATTAAACAATTTATTGAAATCCATTAATATAATATATAACATGAAGTTTTTTTAGTTGTCTTTTTTTAATTTGTATTTCTTAAATTTTAATATATTATATTTTCTTTTTATCATTCTTAATAAAAACTTAAAAAAATAAAAACTACTAAATATTCTATCAAAAGAGAAAGTCAGATAGGTATATGAAACTTGGTAGAAACATCTTCGATCCTCTTTTCCAAAATGCATACCACAAAGTGGTAGACCTCTTCATTTTCTATTTTCCCTTTTATGGAATTTAAGTCAGGCTACTGTGGACTTAAGAAAAGCTACAAAGGTTCCGGAAAAATTTGGCCCAGAAGCGTTTTCGATGTCCATTTTCATAAAAATATCCTTTAAAATATACACCCCATAGATGGTCGTTGGAAATATTATTTAAAATATACACCCCATAGATGGTCGTTGGAAATATTATTTCAAAATTTACACCCCATAGATGGGTGTACGCCTTAGATGTTCCTAGAAAAAATATTCTTTACAAAATCTACGCCTTAAATGGTCGTTGGAAAAATATTCTTTAAAATATTCACGCCTCATATGGTTGTTGAAAAAATATTCTTTAAAAAGAACCACTAATATTTTGGTCCTTCAAAATATATTCTTTACAAAATCTACGCCTTAAATGGTCGTTGGAAAAATATTCTTTAAAATATTCACGCCTCATATGGTCGTTGAAAAAAATATTCTTTAAAAAGAACCACTCCTATTTTGGTCCTTCAAAATATATTCTTTACAAAATCCACGCCTTTAATGGGCCTTGAAAAGATACTCTCTAATAAATCCACGCCTTAGATGGTCTTAGAAAAAAATAATATGACTTAGATGGTCGTTGAAAAGATATCCACACCATATATAGTCGTTGAAAAAATATTCATCAAAATATCTACGCCATAGATTGTTGTTGAAAAAATATTCTTAAAAAAAATCAACACCTTTATTGGTCCTTACAAAATCCACGTCCTTAATGATTCTTGAAAATATATTCTTTACAAAATTACCGCCATAGATTGCCGTTGAAAAATACTCTTTAAATAATTCGCACCTCAGATGGTCCTTGAAAAGATATTGTTTTAGAAATCCACAATATTCTTTACACAATTGAAACAATATTCTTTACACAATTCACGCCTATATTTGGTCCTTGAAAAGATATTCTTTACAAAATGCACGCCTTTAATAGGCCTTGAAAACATATTCTCTAATTAGATGGTCTTAGAAAAAATATTCTTCATAAAATACACGCCTCAAAACATGCATGGCTTAAAAGCATCTACGCCATATGTAGTCGTTGAAAAAATATTCATCAAAATATCCACGCCTTAGATAGTTGTTGAAAAATTCCACGTCTGTAATGATCCTTGAAAATATATTCGTTACAAAATTCACGCCATAGATGGTCCTTGAAAAAATGATCTTTAAATAACGCGCACCTTACATGGTCATTGAAAAGATATTCTTTCAGAAATCCACGCCGTTATTGGTCCTTGAAAAATATTCTATAATAAAAATACGGCATTATTGTTCCTTGAAACAATTTTCTTTAAAAAGTACACACCTTTTTTGGACCCTTCAAAAAATATTTCTTATATATTGGACCCGTTGGTCAACTGCTCCTGGTAGCTTCCCCAATTTAACATCCTTGTTGCACGGTCGTGTTGGTGACAACATTGCAGAAGATACAGATGAGGAATCATCGACATAAACGCCCACGGCTGGTATTGGGGAAGCTGGTCGTATATTTTTTCTCCTGAGGTGCGTGGAACATAATCAATTCCCGAATACTGCAACATAACCATTTGTGCAAAATGATTTTACAATTCTCGTAGCAGAAACAATGGCGCCATATGGTGGTTGACGATAAACAAAAACTAATATGGTTCATATGAACGATTCACTGAAAAGAGCTTGTGGAATAGTTCAGTAAATTTCATAAAAAATTATAGTAATAGTTGGTTCCCGAACCTATAAAGCAATTCTGTAACATTTTTGCAGTTATCGACAAATATCGATAAAAGTAAAACACCAATTGTTCATATTATGGCATTACTTAAAACTCAACTAGTTCGTTCGACGTTTTTCACCACAAAAGTAGAATACATGTATTTACATATATGAATGTTACCGAAATACGTCGAACGTACAAAATTTCAAGTTGAACAATTTCAACTTTAACAGAACGCATTTTTAATTTTTTCCTTTTATGAATGTTCACGTTCGTGAAATGGCTATGTTTGGAACACCCTGTGTTTTTAATGTCAAACCATCACAACTCGGGTCGATCTGGTGACAATGGTGGGCAGCTTGGGACTTTTTTTGTTGGATGCTCAAATGGCGTACTAGTTGGAATTAAACTAGCGAATAATAGTTTTTTTTTATTATAAAATTTGGCCACTCGTTGTTGTATAGTTGAACAGAACGAACGTCTGTAAATAAATTTTGTTATTTTTATTGAAAAGTCGGTCGTTTTCGAAATTATTATTAAAAAATATAAATAAATTTTAGGAAAGTGTTTTTTTCCAACTTCCCGAAAATAAAAATAAAAGTGTTTTTATTTATTTGAAAGTTTGTGCCTGATTGCCGTCGTTGTTCCCGCTGTGCTCCACCGGTGATTTTTTTGATTGTTGTTGGGATTTTGCCCAAAAAGTTTTGAAACAAAACATCGTCCTTCGAGCCGGATACGGAGTACGAGGAAATTTTTCGATTCATATTGTTGAATTTTGGGCGAAAATCAGGTAAATAATATTTTTCTGGGATAATATAATTAATTTTGATAAAAAAATAATCATAATTGCAAATTTGCAACATTTTTCAAAAATTATTATTTATCCCATTTTATGTGTAGAAAGTGTTGATCTGGCAACGCCGTCACAGCTGATCGTCGCTTTTACAGATAACACTAACAACAAACAGTGGATTACTCGTTGATCTTCTTCTTGTTTGTTAGTTTTTGTTATTCTTTTTTTCGCGTTTGCCTATTATTTGCAAAATTTACATTTCTTTTATTTATTGTAAATAAATAAAAAATCGTAGTTTTATAAAAAAATAAATAAACAAAAAAATAAATATTCTAGTGAAAGTGGTCGTCCTCAGTGTTTTTTGAAAAGTTATTTAAAATTTGAAAACTTTTTGGCAAATTGGCAAAAAGGACGGACGGACACCTGTAAAAAATTTTTTTGGAATAATTTTTTTTATTAAAAGTGAATTTTATCATTGCTAAACGATAAAGTGTTTAATTTTAAAATAATCCAATTTGTTTTGCTGTTTCTCATTGGTGTTTGGTGCGTATTTTGCATTTTTTGATTATTATTCATATTTTCTTTCATTGTTGCTGTCCATTGTTTACATTGTTGACAGCTGTAATATACGTGAAGAGGAGACTTGTAATAACAAGGTGACTCGTCCTTCTTTTATAAAATTCCAATTGTAGGTGCATTTATTGTTTGATTTAATTGTATTTTTTTGGTTATTGGCCATTTTTAAAAATACAGTGAATAATTTTCACATACAAAATCTAACATTTGTCCTAAATTGGGTAAAATAGCGAATTTTTATAATCTTGAAACACGTTTTTGGTAATATTTTGGTTGAAATTGTAAGACTTATTGAAGGAAAAGATGGCAGATTCCAAGTTTTTGCTCAAATTTAAGGCTCTTGCGACACTGTTATTGGATTTTGAAAATGAATATAATGCCATAACACCAGGTGAACTTACTATGTTCACTATGGAGCCTCGAAAAGTTAAACTTAACCGACTTTGGTCTAGGATAAATGAATCCTATGAGAATGTTTGTGTTGAGTGTAGTGCATCTAAAGAAAGGGAAGAGGCATCACAACTTTATAGACAATGTAAGGAAGCATATATGAGTTGTGCAGCGCAAATGGGCGAATTATCTCAGTCTTTTGTTGAACAGTCCGCTATGTCGTCTACAATGGCTAGCCCTAATCATATACCAAGGGCAGAAAGATTGGAATTTTCTTTTGCTGACCATCGTCTGCGTTTGCCTCCGTGCACCACAGAAATATTTCACGGCGATTATTTGTCATGGCCGTCATTTAGAGACATGTTTAAGGCAGTTTATATTGATTGTAGATCAATCACCCCGGTAGAAAAGTTGTTTTATTTGCGTCAAAGCACACAAGGGGAAGCTTTAGAAATTGTTAAAAAATCTCCTTTAACAAATGATGGTTTTGAAAATGCCTGGACAAATCTGAAAGATCGGTATGAAAATAAAAGAATTTTGGTAAACAGTCAATTGAAAATACTTTTCAGTCTAGAGTCAATAAAAAATGAGTCTGCTGGAGAAATAAAACGACTTCAAAGGGATATTAATAATTGTATTACGGCTTTGAAGTTACACCAGGTGAATATAGAAAGATGGGATCCAATATTTGTGTTTTTATGCTCCACTAAATTACCAACTAACACCTTATCGCTTTGGGAGCAAACGGTTAGTAATAAAACCGAGATAAGCAAATGGTGTGATCTTGATAGTTTCCTTACGGCCAGATTTCAGTCACTGGAGACTGTATATGATTTAAAGCATACTGAAGATGCTAAACCTAGTGGAAACAAAAATCCCCACGACGATTCTCGATCAAGCAGAAAATTTAAATCTTACCAGGTGAACGTAAATCAAAAATCTTGTTTTGTATGTTCGCAAGATCATTGGTTGAAATCTTGTCCACAGTTTTTAAAGATGAGTCAAGAACAAAGGTTTATTGTTATAAAGCGAAACAATCTCTGCCTAAACTGTTTCAGTAATAACCATAAACTTAGTCAGTGTACCAAAAAAAATTAGTTGCTCAAAATGTCGTTTAAAGCACCATACCCTTTTGCATAGAGAGTCTAAACCATCAGAGTCTATTGCTATTGCGAATTCTGATGCCCAGCCTAGCACTAGCAGGCAAATTGCTTCGAGCTCTTCTAGTAG